GAATCCTGTGTGATTAGTTCCCAATTCTTGTGATACCGTTGCCAGACGGCCCCCTACCGGCGAAGGAATCACGTGTTGAACAAAATCGAATTCTATCTCCAAGTCCCGGGGCGGTTCCAAATCGTAAGGAATAGAATCTGTTTCTAGAGGGGAGTCAGAACCTCCTAGCCCTTGAGGGGCGAAAAGACCTAGCCCCCCTACCTCTACCTCTAGAACTTGCAAAGGAACCCCTGCTAGAGGTCGATGTACGTGGTCTAGCATCCAAGGCTCTATCAAACGCTGAACGTTGTAATAGTGCCTGTCGATTTATGGATTGAGGGCGAGACCCAGATGAAGGTTGTGTGCTATCTCTTCTACCCCTAGGTGCACTTCTGAACCTATTCTGCGACAAGAGGGCCGACACTAAACTGATTAAGATTCCTCGTAGTAATAGCATCCTTTGCTTCAACTGCTTGTTGACACTGCCCGTTGAAGGTAGCCTCTGAGTTCAAAGGTTGCTGAAACATCAGCTCCTTAGTGGATTCCGGTAGATTCTTAACTGAGTTCAACTTGTGTGTCCTATCCATAGCCGTGAGTCTGCCCAAGGAATAGACTTGATTCTGAGTAGCATCCGAAACAGCGTGACATAATACATCCAAGTAAGAATGAGCCAAGGCTACTTCATGCATCGACATAGCCACGAGAGTATCCTTCTTAATGTCTGTATAATCCTTGAATACAGGAGGGAGTAACGCCCTTACACCCGCCGCGAACCAATTAACATAAGAGAGGATATCTATGGTAGAACACGCGGCTGTGTCCAATTCCTTAAATTCCCTGGGTTGGAATGGTAACGGAGAGTCCTGATTACTAGCCCCCAGTAAACTAAAGGTATCCCAGCTGGCAATTCCCGATTGTGAATAGTATACGCTGGCCTATGAGTAATCTTGGGTAAGTTCACCAGAGAAGTAGATTTAACCAACAATTCATTGTAATTATTCATGGCCGATCACACTACTGATGAATGAGGCAAAGATAGCCTGGGAGTGCGCTCCGGAGGTAAACAGCCAGAAGAGCCCAATTCAATGGGTATTTCCTGTTCCATATCCTCAGCTGGCGGAGGTAAAGTACTTGGATACAACCCATATAAAAAATCTAATTTTTCCTTCAATGTCCATCCGGGAGCGTAATCTTCCGCCGCCATATCCATGGAAGGCACAGTAACACAACCCTCCATAATCAATTCAGGATTAGATACCGGGTAGGCCATATGCCCCTCTGAGTCGGATAAGTCCGGGATTAACGGTAATATGGGCAGATTGTCCGTATCTATAAAGTCCTCGCAAGCCGTTGCTGTAACTATAGCCGTTGCATGACTATCCGTGGCATTCCCCGTAGGACAAGCAGCCCTCTGCTGGGAGTCCGCCGTGAAGCCCATGCTATCTGACTGGCGGCCTGAGCCTGACTAACGGAATCCCCCCCAAGCCGCACGGGCGACACAGATCCACCAGAGCAAGAAACGATAGCCGGCTCTGCAGACTGTCTGGCTTGGGTACTGGACCCTAAGGGTACCCCCTCACAAAGGCGGTGTCCCTCCTGCACGAAGCCTTAGCGTCTCCCGCCGTGGGGATCGGCAAATGACTGTTGTTTCAGTGGCCTAGTGCGCCCGTAATCGTCATTGTCATTTATATATGGAGCCCTCTGAGTTAACGATTCTGTGAAATCTAACTGCCTCTGCAATTCTGATATTTTCCCATCGTTACGCTTTTCAAACTCATGGAAAGATTGCCGAATGGAAGTCTGAATATCCAACTTAAAATCCAACAATAGGGACGTAATGGCCGACATGTTCACTTGGCTGGACGAAGAACTAGATTTTGATCTTGACCTAGACTTATTCTCTGATTTAATAGAATCTGGCTGAGGTTGAGAAGCAGATTTCTTAATTCTAGATGAATCTGATGAATCCGATAATTCCCTTTTCCTGGAATTATTGCGAGCCTTGTCCATAATTAACCAGTCCTCTTTTGATAATTCTGAGCACAGCAAACAATGATTATCTGAAGAACAAGGCGATCCCACAAAACATGAGGCACATAATGAATGAGGGTCCGATTCAGCCATGAATCTCTGGCATTGCAAGCACTTGTTTTGCGACATTGTGATAAGTCCTAATGGCGGGAAAATCTAACTCCTCACAAGTAAAGCAATTGCAAAATATACAGTTCACAATATACTGCAATGGTCAGAACAATGCGATATCACTAACCAGTACTTGCAAAATTCACTTGTGAAGACTTTCATTGATAATTCTCTTCCACTTCTGTGAACGTCTGCACGTGAACCATACAGAAAAACTTATGAGGGTTTGCGGAGAATCATTCTGTGACGTCATGGCTAGGGGAGATAACTGTGTCACTCTTTAGGCATACCACTAAGGATAACTATGACTTAGGCTTTTTTTTAAGAGAACCTTTTTCTCTTTCATTTCTGTATGTCACTGCGATACCACAGGAAACTGGCAACCATAATCCAGAGGGAACGTTTACGACATAATTGATACTGTTGTCCAAACCTGTGAGTAACCTGATTAAAACCTGCAAAACATGGAGAACTCTTGTTTAACATTGTACTTTACTGTACCTTGGGCTAGAGTTAAACTGTGATCTTTCAGCATAAAATTTATACAGGCCTGACTACCATGCAGAAGCTGTCTTGCATATATGTACAAGGAAATGGTATGTCTGGGCAGAATATTTCCAACTGATGATAACTTATATGAACTGCGTTTGTGAACTGACACTTGGCCTCAGCGGCATATATCATCAAAACCATGCATCTCTTCAGGGGATATTGTTGAGACCTTGCATCTACTGACCTGGTACATATCCCCAGACACCCTGCATCTACTCACCTGGGACATATCCCCAGACACCCTACATCTACTCACCTGGTACATATCCCCAGACACCCTACATCTACTCACCTGGTACATATACCCAGACACCCTACATCTACTCACCTGGTACATATCCCCAGACACCCTACATCTACTCACCTGGTACATATCCACAGAGACCCTACCATCTACTCACCTGGGACATATCCCCAGACACCCTACCATCTACTCAACTGGTACATATCCCCAGACACCCTACATCTACTCACCTGGTACATATCCCCCGACACCCTACATCTACTGACCTGGTACATATCTCCAGACACCCTACATCTACTCACCTGGTAACTATCCCTAGACACCCTACATCTACTCACCTGGTACATATCCCCAGACACCCTACATCTACTGACCTGGTACATATCCCCAGACACCTTACCATCTACTCACCTGGGACATATTCCCAGACACCCTACCATCTACTCACCTGGGACATATCCCCAGACACCCTACCATCTACTCACCTGGTACATATCCCCAGACACCCTACATCTACTCACCTGGTACATATCCCCAGACACGTTACATCTACTCACCTGGTACATATCCCCAGACACCCTACATCTACTCACCTGGTACACATCCCCAGACACCCTACATCTACTCACCTGGTACATATCCCCAGAGACCCTACCATCTACTCACCTGGTAACTATCCCCAGACACCCTACCATCTACTCACCTGGTACATATCCCCCGACACCCCACATCTACTCACCTGGTACATATCCCCAGACACCCTACATCTACTCACCTGGTACATATCCCCAGACACCCTACATCTACTGACCTGATACATATCCCCAGACACCTTACATCTACTCACCTGGTACCTATCCCCAGACACCCTACATCTACTCACCTGGGACATATCCCCAGACACCCTACATCTACTCACCTGGGACATATCCCCAGACATTCCACATCTACTCACCTGGTACATATCCCCAGACACCCCACATCTACTGACCTGGGACATATCCCCAGACACCCCACATCTACTCACCTGGTAACTATCCCCAGACACCCCACATCTACTGACCTGGTAGTCTGCAGCAGCAGGTCTGTCTGACCAGGTACATATCCCCAGACACCCTAGGCCTACATCTACTGACCTGGTACATATCCCCAGACACCCCACATCTACTGACCTGGGACATATCCCCAGACACCCCACATCTACTGACCTGGTACATATCCCCAGACATCCCACATCTACTCACCTGGGACATATCCCCAGACACCCCACATCTACTCACCTGGTAACTATCCCCAGACACCTCACATCTACTCACCTGGTAGTCTGCAGCAGCAGGTCTGTCTGACCAGGTACATATCCCCAGACACCCCACATCTACTGACCTGGTAGTCTGCAGCAGCAGGTCTGTCTGACCAGGTACATATCCCCAGACACCCTACATCTACTGACCTGGTACATATCCCCAGACACCCCATATCTACTGACCTGGTACATATCCCCAGACACCCCACATCTACTGACCTGGTACATATCCCCAGACACCGCACATCTACTCACCTGGTACATATCCCCAGACACCCCACATCTACTCACCTGGTAACTATCCCCAGACACCCCACATCTACTGACCTGGTAGTCTGCAGCAGCAGGTCTGTCTGACCAGGTACATATCCCCAGACACCCCACATCTACTCACCTGGTAGTCTGCAGCAGCAGGTCTGTCTGACCAGGTACATATCCCCAGACACCCTACATCTACTCACCTGGTACATATCCCCAGACACCCCACATCTACTGACCTGGTACATATCCCCAGACACCCCACATCTACTGACCTGGTACATATCCCCAGACACCCCACATCTACTGACCTGGTAGTCTGCAGCAGCAGGTCTGTCTGACCAGGTACATATCCCCAGACACCCTACATCTACTGACCTGGTACATATCCCCAGACACCCTACATCTACTCACCTGGTACATATCCCCAGACATCCCACATCTACTGACCTGGTACATATCCCCAGACACCCCACATCTACTCACCTGGTAACTATCCCCAGACACCCCACATCTACTGACCTTGTAGTCTGCAGCAGCAGGTCTGTCTGACCAGGTACACGTGTCCTGTTGTACTAGCTGGATCGCCTGGGACTGCACCTCGTACTTCTCCTCGTCCTTCTTCTGGTCTGGGGACAGCACCTCCATGTTGACCACCCCTGGAGCAGGTCCCTCTTGGTGCTGCTCCACATGCTGGACAGGTTTCTTCACCTCCACATGATTGTCCAGCTGGAGTACTTCCTTCAGGCGGTCAATTCCAGAACGGTCGCCTTTGGCGATCTTCCCCACTGTGTCTTTAATTTCTTTAATCGTCTCATGATTGCGTAAGATGTCATCTTCAATTCTTTTTATCTTTATTTCTATACCATCCAATGCTTGCTGAAAACAAATAATTCTAATTAGAACCCTGTGCATCCATCCTAGTAATACATTCCAAACACAAAGCTATCTAAGAATATTTTGCTTTTGTCATATGACAAATATAATATTAGTCTGACACACAACTTACCATATATTTGGATGACAGAGGATAAGAACTCATAATGAAGATAAGTTGAAAGACTGGCCAGTGCAAATATAGCCAACATAAAATAGAGGAGAGTGATTTGTCTCTGATGTGGTTTTATTTTTCTTGGCCTCAGCTGTATGGGCATGTTGCACCTCGGTATCTGTCCTTGTCATTGGTGAACTATCACTACACGCCATGTGTTCCCTGGCAAAATACAACACTAACAGTCTCCACCCAACCAAACCACACTGAGAGTAGTTTGTGAAGGGAGGCAACTGTTTGTTAAGCAAAAGTGCTTGGTGGGCCAACAAATCCGACTTGAAAAAGAGAATTTGTACTGCATCCACCAAATTACAAAACCAATTTTGTCAACACAGAAGAATATTAATTTCAAATTTGATTGGAATGTTCATATTTGTAAAATTTACTGGAGAAATCACTTCTCCCAACATTGCAAAAACAAATTTCCTAAATGTTATTCTGGAGATATTCCACCTATGGAACAAATTATTGAAAATTCTACTTTCACTGGTCATAAATTCACAGATTTATGTTGCCTCATGTCCAGACATAGTTGTTTGGTTCATATTTAAGATAACATTAAAGATTACACAGATTTTGGGGGATAATTTGCCAGTGTTATTGTCGCTTGAATGTATAACTATCTTGTTTATGGAAGTTTTCAAGAATAATGAACCAACAGACGGCTTATATAACTCGGAGCAGACACCATGTAGACAGTTGACATCAGTATGATATGAAAACAGTGACATTACTTTAGCACAAATATTCAACACAGGCCCTGCCCGATCAATTATCAGCCATTCAGGAAATGGAAATCCATTAGCATAAGAGGTCCAATTCTTTTTCCGTTTATTGAACAAAACATAAAACCCAATGGCTTGGCTAGTCAATGAAATGCCACAAATCACAAGGAAGAAGTAAGCTTCCTTGTATCTATTTTTGCAAAACTTTTAAAACGGTAAGTACCAGTAATGGAGGTCACAGCACTAACAGACATTTCTCCACAATCGAGCAGCGTGAGAAGACACCTTTTAACAAGAGACTGTTCACAACAGCCACTCACTCACTCGTGTACAGGGTCTACAAAAGACCGGTTCAAACAACATCCACTCACTCAAGTACAGGGTCTACAACAGACTGTGTCAAACAACATCCACTCACTCACTCATATACAGGGTCTACAAAAGACCGGTTCAAACAACATCCACTCACTCAAGTACAGGGTCTACAACAGACTGTGTCAAACAACATCCACTCACTCACTCATGTACAGGGTCTACAACAGACTGCGTCAAACAACAGCCACTCACTTACTCATGTACAGGGTAAACAACAGACTGTGTAAAACAACATCCACTCACTCACTGATGTACAGGGTATATAACAGGCCATGTCAAACAACATCCACTCACTCATTCATGTACAGGGTATACAACAGACTGTGTCAAACAACAGCCACTCACTCATTTATGTACCGGGTATACAACAGACTATCAAACAACATCTACTCACTCACTCATGTACAGGGTCTACAACAGACTGTGTCAAACAACAGCCACTCACTCACTCATGTACAGGGTATACAACAGACTGTGTCAAACAACAGCCACTCACTCACTCATGTACAGGGTGAACAAAAGACTGTGTCAAACAACATCCACTCACTCACTCATGTACAGGGTATACAACAGACTGTGTCAAACAACATCCACTCACTTACTCATGTACAGGGACTACAACAGACTGTCAAACAACATCCACTCACTCACTCATGTACAGGGTATACAACAGACTGTGTCAAACAACATCCACTCACTCACTCATGTACAGGGACTACAACAGACTGTCAAACAACATCCACTCACTCACTCATGTACAGGGTCTACAACAGACTGTGTCAAACAACATCCACTCACTCACTCATGTACAGGGTATACAACAGACTGTCAAACAACATCCACTCACTCACTCATGTACAGGGTATACAACAGACTGTGTCAAACAGCATCCACTCACTCACTCATGTACAGGGTATACAACAGACTGTCAAACAACATCCACTCACTCACTCATGTACAGGGTATACAACAGACTGTCAAACAACATCCACTCACTCACTCATGTACAGGGTATACAACAGACTGTGTCAAACAACATCCACTCACTCACTCATGTACAGGGTATACAACAGACTGTCAAACAACATCCACTCACTCACTCATGTACAGGGTCTACAACAGACTGTGTCAAACAACAGCCACTCACTTACTCATGTACAGGGTCTACAACAGACTGTGTCAAACAACAGCCACTCACTTACTCATGTACAGGGTCTACAACAGACTGTGTCAAACAACAGCCACTCACTCACTGATGTACAGGGTATATAACAGGCCATGTCAAACAACATCCACTCACTCATTCATGTACAGGGTATACAACAGACTGTGTCAAACAACAGCCACTCACTCATTTATGTACAGGGTATATAAGAGACCATGTCAAACAACATCCACTCACTCACTGATGTACAGGGTATACAACAGACTGTGTCAAACAACAGCCACTCACTCCTACAGGGTATACAACAGACTGTGTCAAACAACAGCCACTCACTCACTCATATACAGGGTCTACAACAGACTGTGTCAAACAACATCCACTCACTCACTGACGTACAGGGTCTACAACAGACTGTGTCAAACAACAGCCACTCATGTACAGGGTATACAACAGACCATGTCAAACAACAGCCACTCACTCACTCATGTACAGGGTATACAACAGACTGTGTCAAACAACATCCACTCACTCACTCATGTACAGGGTATACAACAGACCATGTCAAACAACTTCCACTCACTCACTCATATACAGGGTCTACAACAGACTGTGTCAAACAACATCCACTCACTCACTCATGTACAGGGTCTACAACAGACCATGTCAAACATAATGCACTGTTCTTGAAAATCTTCTTTTCTCTGCTTCAGTGACATTAAAGTGTAATTCCCTTTACGCTGCTTCAAGTTCAATCACATCATGTAAAATGTTACAATTTCTGGACTTTCTGGATGTTTCTTAGTTTTTGTAAGATTTTTCCTTAGGCTGCAGTGGATTGAGAGGAGTCTAACATTTACAGACACACAGACACAAACAAACACACACAGGCACACACACACAAACACACACACAGAGATATGTTAAAATAAAATATATCTTACAATTTCTGGACTTTCTGGATGTTTCTTAGTTTCTGTAAGATTTTTCCTCAGGCTTCAGTGGATTGAGAGGAGTCTAACGTTTACAGAAACACAGGCACACAAACACAGGCACGCAGACACACAGAACAGGCCCCAGTTCAAAAAGTTACACATATCTGCTACACCAACTTGCGTGCATTGGGCAGGCTGTTTCCCTGGAATTTTTACAAAGTTATTTTACAAAGATACAACTACTGTAAAAAAAAAATACAATATGAAGATATTAGTCTGAACAAATGTAGACTTTAATGCACAAATATACATGCAATCAACCATGATTAGAAAACAAATACTAAAGAATGATTTTCGCTGAACTAGATGTACTCTAGAACTAGATCTATAGGTGACATACAGTATATTGTTTTAGAATCAAATTACCTGAAGGAATTAAACAAGTTATCCTTTAAACACATGTTCATTGTATCACATTTGTTTGAGAGATGTTTTGATAACTTAAACAAGTTCCCCTTTCATCAAAACACTTTCATTATCACCAAAGCAATGTGACAACAAGTTATGTTTTCTCTCTTTTTACAAACATTCATCTGGTATATTATTTTCAAAAATTAAACTTATACAAAAGAGCACAAGTTGGAATTACCAGTACCAGTGTTCCATACACGTTGGGGACAGTGTTTCAGTTCCTGTCTCACTGGTTGCCCATATTGTAAAGTTTTCTGAGAATTAACTAAAATTAAAAACTATTGCCCGTTTCATGAATTGAGCAGATAATTGTTTGTGCAATGCACACACTGGACAGTTGTACAGATTGTGTGTAACATATGTGTTACAAAATATGACATCAATCACTGTACATCTGTGTCAGCCCTGCTTGGACAGTACACAATACAGCTTATCAGCTATCAATTCAGTCAAAACACAAATGAACAAATCTGCAGTTTGCACAATAACATTGCCTAAACACCATTTATAATGATCAATCAGCACACTTATATCTGCATACCTGGCACAGGAACAGAGTAATACCTGAGATTCGACTGCCTGCATGGAACACTAAGCTCACACATCCTCCCTCCCCAGCCCAGCAAATTGATGGAAGCTCCCTTGTGCCCCTCAACTTCCTAATTCTCACAACCCCTATCCACTGCCCAAGCCTCCCTTGTTCACCCTGGTACAAATCGATGGCAGACTCCAGTACTACATCCACACCTACCAGTACCCAAGGCAACCTACAGTATCCACACTGGCCACCTGACCTCCTTCAGATAACCCGCCAACTACTTCCGTACACACCATCTACCCGAGGTGTCATTAACATTATGTTTACACACCAGCAGCCACGTATGCATGTACCAGAGAAGCTGTCACAGAAAGTACCTGCTCAACAACCCATGACAGCTAGGAAAGGCTGTTCAGCCATTAAAACCCTGAAAAGGTGTGCATGGTCAAATGTCTCTCCCACAAGCATTTCTTGTCACTTTAACTAAGTAGGTCAGTGAAATATTATTCTGCCTGCCACAGTCTGGTGGCAGGTATTGATTGAAGTTAGGTTCAGGTATGTACCTGTCCACAGCATGAGGTAGTGTCTACCTCAAATCAGTATTGCTACAGTTTACTGGTGA